TTATAAATATAAATCTTATTTTATTTTATATGAATTATATTTCTTCACATATAATTAGAAAAAACAATTATGTTTTTAAGAACTTCTCTAATAATTTAAACTTGGTTCATCCATCACAAACAAACCATACTTAACTTAATAACCAACATTCATCTTGCTTGCATGCAGCAGCTGCTGCTTCACTAATTTTTTAACCTTATCTCGACCAATCCCTGTAATTTTTATTTTTATTTTTTGCTTTTTCTAGACGTAGCGGTAGCAGCACAGACCTGAATAATTATGGAAATTGTTTGACATATACACAGCCTGGGTTGAACCGACGACAAGAAAATGCGATGCTCGGCCTTCTTGTTGATCAGCATATTTGTTATTATATCGGAGAAGCAGGGGTATGATCATGTGGGGTGGCCATAGAGATGGGTTCGAGAAATAAAATATGCAAGGGGAGTTGATTTTCAAGGTCCTCCTCAGTGAAGTCGTTAAGTAGCACCATATCAAGTCTTTTTCGGTTTAGGTGACATGATCTCATCATGATTTAGACGGGGGATGTGAAATAGTGGAGTAGTGGCCTCCCTTAACCAAACCACCTTGAGCAGGTGGCGCTGATGGCTTGGTGGCAAGCATGCAAAGATAATGATTATGATTATGATAATGATAAAAATAAAAAATAAAGAAAAGAGATACAGAGGACGAGGATGGATGGTGAGGGCTATGATTTTTCATGTCACATCCCACTAACCACAAAAGCCAAGCAAGAGATGACTTCTTTAGCAGACATGGAACAAATTTAATTTTTATTTTTTTAATCTTTTCCTGATATGGTCTTCTCCTTTCATTTCACTCATTGTTTTAATCTTGGATATTTTTTTGGAATTCAGATTTTCCTTCTCACCTCTCTTCACATGCTGTAACAAATAAGATTTTCATAAATTTTTAATTTTAATATAAAAAAATATCTCTATAACCAAGAAAGATAATTTTTTTATAAAGGTGTATTAAAAATTAAAAAAATATCAAATTTATTTTTTTTATAGTATATATATTATTGTTTTCATGTTACATTAAAATTATTATTTTTAATTGCCAAATTAATATCTTCACATGCTAAAAGCATTTTAAAAAGTAATTTTAAATATAAATAAATTACGTATACTTTCTTAGTCTTAATGTAAAAAATTTGCCTAAAAATATCATGACCATCGCATGAAAGTCAATCGGGGCTTGATGAATCACTTTGGAGGTTAGCTTAATCGGACTCTTATTCAAGCAAAAGATCATCCCAGTTTCCCATTCTAATCATGTGGAGCATAGAAATTTGAAGATGTTTGTCGACGCATGGATCACAGTAGCTCCTTTGTTGTGCACAATTTCTCACTCTAGAAGTTAGAGCATAAATTTTCTCATTTGAAAGCTTCCATTTCTGACTTTTGATCCTTTCGCAGAGCAAAACGAACAAATCAAAAGATGGGTCGATGAGCAGAGCATGGTCTGCCGAGGTGGTGGCATTTTAGAGTCTCCCAATAAAGCGAGAGGAAACCAAGTCTCTGCTTCTTCAGGAATTGTCAGAGTAGTAGGTGGGTGTCACTGCTTAGAAAGATTGGAAGCAAATCAAGGAAGTTGAGCCATTCCTTTTTGTGTTCCTGAAATTCCAAGTATGGAAAGGCCGGTGCCCGAGACTTCGGGCTGCTGACATTAATTGATCCTGTTTGTCAAGTTCCTTTTTATTTGTATGTTTTAAAAATATTTAAAAAAATATTTTTTAAATTATTTTAATATATTAATACCAAAAATAATTTTTAAAAAATAAAAAATATTTTATAATGAAAAACACTTAATTTCAATCACACTTTTAAACATATTCACCTTAGATATAATAAAAAATCAAAATCAAAATTTTTTTATTTTTTTATTATTATTAATATGTGTTATCAGACTTATATATAATTTGATTAATTTTATAAATTTTAAAAATAATTATTGTATAAATTTTTAATAATTATAAAATTTAAATTAATAATTTAAAAACATAAATATAAAATCTAACTAATTAAACTACTACTTTCAATTTAAAAAAAACTTATTCAAGATACCGTGATTGTTCCGCAACAAACAAATATAGATAACTAAGCAACAATTGACTGCGATTTTCATGGTAAAACAGGACAAATCTTCCGGTATCCTTGCTTGATTTACAGGGTTTTACAAGTCATAAGTGGGGACATGGCGGAGCCCCATCATGCATGCCTTTTATGTACAATGGCAGTGCATAATTTATAGAGACATTTTGAAGACTGGGATTTTAGATTATTTAACTATGAATTATGACAATTTCAAGACCTAATTTAACAAATCTCACAGACATATTAGCTAATTAATTCTACAAGACTAGAAACATTACAAGACATTAGGGAACTCATGTGATCGAGCCACTCGTTGCGGGTCAGTTAAAAGCATATGCCCATGTGAACCGTGCATAAATTAAGCTTCTCGAGGGACTTCTAGGGTGCCTTGCAGAAACGCAGCAACAAAGCCACGGGCTGTCACTGCTAAAACGTCTTACAGAAACGTTGGCGGAGGCAGGGGGGGGGCTGGCAGGGCCCCGGCCCCTGCAGGAAATTTTCTTCCCAGCCTTCTTTTTTGTAAATATTGTAAAAATAATTAAAAATTTAATTTTATTCCTTTTAATTTTTAATTTGGTCCCTCTTAGTTTTTTTTTCTTGCTCCGCCCCTGGTCACTGCTAAAACGTCTTACAGAAACGTTAATGCAACCTTATCCAGAAAAAAATTAATCGAGATGATAAACAATTTGAGGTTGCAACTCAGGCATTAAAGCTTGGAATTAAGATTTGAATCCTCCAGCCCTAATATTATATGAAATACGAGTGGGTGTTATTAAAAGGGATTCTGTATTCGGACAGGCTCCGACCCTAAGAAAAGGTCTCCATGCCCATGAAAAGGACTGCAAAGTTCAAACTACGATACAATAATGGTGGTCATATATGACCAGCACAAATCTAAATAAACCCTCCGGTTTATTAGTAACGGCGAGGCGAGGAAATTCTTTGGATCGTGCGAGGAGGATGGTACTTGGGTCGTAGGTATCCTCCAACTAATACATGAATAAATAGATAATTTCATCTTCACCATTGTCGTTTTCCGGTTGTCGTCGGCCATCAAATTTAATATCCACCCTTTCTCTTTGACTTTTTAAAATAAAAATACCCAAATAACTCGGACTAGTATAATCCCAAGTGGTGGTTTATTGCCCCCCTTGCTCGATTGCTTCGGTTGCGTATAGTTTATTGATTAAATTAATGCTTGTATTGTAATATTGTTATTGTTTCTCATTTCAAGTATCATTATGGATTCTAGCGGTTATTTAAAAAAAAACTAATTTGATGCTTAAAATATTATTTTATAAAATTTAATTCTTTTAAATCTAAATTTACACTCTATTCCATATTTTTTTATAAGAGAAGATTAAATTGGAAGGTAGAAAATATGAAGTGAAAAAATAAAGTACAATAGATGATGGTTTTAAAATTTATGTGAAAAGTTCATGCTAGTCTTGTATCCTTTTTAGCTTTTATATAATTATTTTTTTATTTTTTAAAAAATTAATTTTGATACTAAATTTTATTTTTTTTGTTTTTGATTTTTTTATAAAAAAAAAAAAAAACTTGTCAAATTCTGATATATAAAGAGAAAGTTATCATTAATAATGATTTTGACAATCAAAATAATTTATTTTTTTATCAAATAATTTCATATAATTAAAAAAAATTGAATTAAATGTTTTTATTTATACATTGAAAATGTCTAAAAAATATATTTAAGCTCGGAAAGATTTTTTATTTTGAATTAATTTAGGTTTTAAGGCATTTTTTATAGTTTTTAGAGGTAATTGATTGGTTTAATTTTCTAGCTAATTTATGATTTTTTAAATAGAAATTTATTATTATTACATTTGGTGTGTTTAATTTATTTATAATTTTTTTTTATGTTTTTTACATATTTTAAATTTAATTTTAAAATTTTAAAATTTTTATTTTTTTATAATATTTTTAATACGTGAAACCTTACATAATATATTTTCTTTTATTTTATTCAATAAATTTTCCACTTGAATCAATTTCTATTATAAAAATACTTTAATAAATAAATTTATTAATCATAATTGGATAAATAACCCATATGACAATATTAAATATGTTAATTTATATTTATTTCTTGTTTTGTTTTGTTTTGTTTTTTCCATTAAATTTATTGTTTTTATACATGTAATATAGACATATATTATGTATAGGCCATGAATGTCACATATTAGTCTAGCTTTGTTTAAAATATTTTTTATTTATTATTATTTTTATTTTATTTTTTATCATATTATTAAATTAATTCATTATTTTTATTTTATTTTTCATCATATTATTAAATGAATTAAAATTTAATCAAAACAGTAAATATTTCTTGCGTTTTTTAACAACATAATCTTCTTTTAAATTTATTTTTTTTCATGTTAGAAAAAATTTCAGTCGACGGCACAACAATCCAGTAAATACTAAGGGTATATGTCGCTACTCACCACCAACTACATCAATTAAGCAAATAATATAATTAGGCAACTGTGTAACCACCATGGAAATTAAGATATTCCTTTCATGAAATACTGAATTAGTGACGTATACATGATGCTGCAAACCTCATCAAAGATTCAGTGCTCTTAACTATCATGTTCCCTTTTGCTTGACATGAACCATGAGTTAATCAGGACCATCAATACTACTGAGGCCCCACCAATTTTTTGATCATGGGAACAATGCTCACTTGATTTACAACTTTGAAAAAACGACCCATGCTTGTGGAAGCAGAGGATGGCGCCACTCATCATGTTTCACCTACCACCACCCGTAAAATATGCTGAGATGTCCTTGTCTTTTTTATTGCCAAGTAACCTTTGCCATTCTTTGTTGTGCTTTTGTATATATATACTCATCCATAGTGGCTTCAGATTCTTCAACTCTCCACAGAAACTCCATCCCTCTCTCTAAGCCTCATTTTTTCAAGAAAATGGGTAGCCTTGAAACAGAGAGAGAAATTGTAGGATGGGCAGCAACAGATTCAACTGGGCATCTAGCTCCTTACACCTATAGTCTCAGGTAAATATTCTTGAATCTGTCTCTTTCTCTGACACACTGTTCTAGTATGTATATTCCATGTGTAGTTACAAGCACTAATGTTACGCCTCTAAACTCTTATCTTTTTCTCTTTTTGGTTGCAGAGATACGGGGCCAGAAGATGTTTTTATCAAGGTTATCAGCTGTGGAATTTGCCATACCGATATCCACCAAATCAAAAATGATCTTGGCATGTCACACTATCCTATGGTCCCTGGGTACTTACAATTAAAGAAAAAACCCTCTTTTGTTTTCCCCAAGATGGCAAAAACACAACGAACACGCACACAATATTTATATACTGCTCTGCATGTTTCTTTTATTTTTCATCTTTTTAGTTTTCCTTTTTCTTTAATGATGTTTACTGGTATTTTGTTGTGATCTATAGCCATGAAGTGGTTGGTGAGGTTGTTGAGGTGGGATCAGATGTGACAAAGTTCAAAGTTGGAGATGTTGTTGGTGTTGGAGTCATCGTTGGAAGCTGCAAGAATTGTAATCCATGCAAATCAGAGCTTGAGCAATACTGCAACAAGAAAATCTGGTCTTACAATGATGTCTACACTGATGGCAAACCCACCCAAGGAGGCTTCGCTGAATCCATGGTTATCGATCAAAAGTAATCATCAAAACATTTTAAGTCCTTTTATGTTCGTAATTACTTGCTTTTGTTATTAGCCTTTGAATATCTAGTTTTCTTGATTTTGGACTTCATTATGACCGAAAGTTTCTCATTTTTTACTGTTCCTCGTTCATGGTTTTGTGTCAAAGAAATCCAATTTGCAATCTTTTCGTCCTGTGGAGAAGCATTATTTCAACTCGTATGAATTTTTAGGCACACAAATAACCAATTAGTTCCGTCTGCATTTAGTTAGCCATGTATTAGATAGTGAACTGGAATGCAGTAATTGAGTTTTGTAGGTCCAAAAATGTTATTTCTCGCACTAGAAAAACCCTCTTCTGATCCAAAATAAAACAGAAATCCTTTTTCGATTGACGTGCATTTTCTTGCTCAATTAATTGATTAAGCAAAACTCGTGCTTGTTTTGATGAACTTTGATATTTTCCTTAGGTTTGTGGTGAGAATTCCTGATGGGATGTCACCAGAACAAGCAGCGCCGCTGTTGTGCGCTGGATTGACAGTTTACAGCCCACTTAAACACTTTGGACTGAAACGGAGTGGGCTAAGAGGAGGGATTTTAGGACTTGGAGGAGTAGGACACATGGGAGTGAAGATAGCAAAAGCAATGGGACACCATGTAACTGTGATTAGTTCTTCTGATAAGAAGAGGGAGGAGGCTTTGGAACATCTTGGTGCTGATGAATACTTGGTCAGCTCGGATGTGGAAAGCATGCAAAAAGCTGCTGATCAACTTGACTATATCATCGATACTGTGCCTGTGGTTCACCCTCTCGAGCCTTACCTTTCTCTATTGAAACTTGATGGCAAGCTGATCTTGATGGGTGTTATTGGTGCCCCATTGCAGTTTGTTACGCCTATGGTTATGCTTGGTGAGTCTCCCTCTATTTGCTTCGAAGATTAGTTATGTATTCTCTACTTAATTTTCAATTGAGTATAAACCTGGGAAATTTTCGCTATAATTCACAATCCCTGATTAGGGTGCTTTTTTTCTCATGCAATTTTGTGTAGGGAGAAAGTCAATCACCGGGAGCTTCATAGGGAGCATGAAGGAGACAGAGGAGATGCTTGAGTTCTGCAAGGAAAAGGGATTGGCCTCCATGATTGAAGTGATCAAAATGGATTATATCAACACAGCATTCGAGAGGCTTGAGAAAAATGATGTGAGATACAGATTCGTTGTCGATGTTGCTGGTAGCAAGCTTATTCCCTGAACAACAATACTATTCATATTCGAAAAAACGCGATATACATTGATACCTGTTTCAGACCGTGACTTTATTTTGGAGTGAATGTGTTTTGTTGTTCAAACGTGACAGTTTGTCCTTGCTTTTAAAATAAAGAAAAAGTCGAGTTGTTTTTTTATTTTCATTAATGAGTATGCGTTACCTTGTAATTGAATGCGCTGTGTATCTGGTGATCTGTCCCATAAACTAATCTCTTGTGGCAATGAAAGATGACGAACTTTCTGAAAACATCTTGTCGCATAAGGCAAGGCCTTATTTGTTGAACATTTGGATATTTAACAATCTCTCTAATTTGTGGTTTGTGATGTAAAGAACTCAGATCGTATTTTTCCAAATTCTGAAGTAATTTGGAAGTTCACCCTTAAAAGACATCGAAACATCTTCAATGACTAGAAACAATAAGAAAGACTTCTACTATATGGGGCAGTCTGTGCATCTGACATATCATAGCCGCAGCCGCGCCTACACTAATCGTTCGTGAACAAAAAGCAGCCAGAGAATGAAAGTTTTAAGAGAATTATAATTAAGAAAGATAAGGTTCAGACTTGATTTTCTTGTGTGGACCAGAGATGAAGTTATTAGTTAGGGATGAGGCCGGTTGCAACTACATTATGGTCTTATAGAAGAATGCTCCTTTTTTTCTCATATGCCGATCGATTTTCAACCAGCCAGTCTGATTAGAAGGACAAGGAACCGTAAAAGAAAGATTCTTTGGTGTTTGGGTAGGAGCCTAAAGGACAACAGCCAAGAGGAAAATAAGTTCTGGGAGTCAAGAAAAGAGAAGATCAGACGGTGAAAACTGAAAACGAACCTAATGATATACTTAAGCCCAGCTTGGGCGGTTGTTGGACTGGTAAAATTAGCAACCCAGTTACCAAGGTGGTTGAATCTCCAATTAGGTGTGCATCATCATTATTAATTCAAGCTCAGGTATGCGAGGTTGAATATAGAGTGATACTTCAGTTTTACACACAAACGTTGAATTAAGTTCACGTCCGGAACCGGAAGAAAATGGGTCTACTTCGCAGAATAAACATTGAATTTATAGGGTTTAATTTAGGAATTCATCAAGGATGCGTTTAGGCGTAATATATAGTTAGACGCGGACTAGATTTAGTTCACATCCAGAGCCCAGGAAAAAATGGGTCTAGCTCATGAAATAATTAAGAACATTGAATTTATAGGGTTTGATTTAAGGGTTAATCGGGAATGCATTTAAGCTTAATATTTGAACGTGGACACATGCAGACCCATATAAAATTGGACATGAACATATCCAGACCCGAGGTTGGGATGTGAACATGATTGAACCCAACATGGAATTGGATATGAATATGTCGGAACCTAACATAAAGTTGGACACAATCTTCTCCCTTTCTAACTTAGAGTTCAACGTTGAGCAAAACATAATTTCATATTGAGTTGTAATTTTGTGCAATAACCTTATTAATAGAGTTGGTTTCGGAGAATAATCTATTGAATTGCGTTACTTACATAATCTATATAACTGTGTTATGTTTATTAACATATCCCATTAATATACTATTTTTGTAGTTATTTTTTGAACTGTGTTTTTTTTTCTTTTTTTTACATGTGCTCCTTGAAAAACCGAAGTCTGGGTGGAAGCGATAGCGACATGGACCTTGTCCTCACGGCCTCGTCGAGGGCAAAACCTTTGAATCATCAGCCAAAACTTAGATGCCACGTGTATAGAAACCCTTTCAACACATGATTCTTAGCTATTCCCGGTATGGTTTTTGGATGTCCTGGAATATATTCCACGTGGAAAAAGGTAGTGCACGTGGAAAAATTAACCATGATAGACAGAGTGTTTTTATGTGTTTTAACAATATTTTTAAAAAGTTTAAAATTTAAAATTTATTTATTTATTTAAAATTAATATATTTTTAAATTTTTAACGTGTTTATATTAAAAATAATTTTTAAAAAATAAAAAAATTATTAATAAATATTTTAACATAAAAAATTATTTAAAAAATAATCACAACTATACTCTTCCTCCAACTTCCATCATGCCTGGTGTAATGGTTTTTCAAGGAAGTTTACACCTGACAGAAAGCACCTAAATCAAACCTTATGAATGAATGCTCGTATTCAAAATGATGCGGGAAACTTCAACCAGACCCTTCTCCACTTGTAAATAGCACCACTTGCATATTTGTACAACTATCTCTATATCTGATGTTAGCTGCATTTAAGTGAGATTCATTTTTAATATCCCTTAAAGCATCGTCTCCTGGAAACGTTTTTGGGCGTGTTTGCTATGTGTTACGTCTGGGCTGCTCGCGATTATTTGCGACAAAAAATAAATGAATGCAGCCTCGTGTTTTATGAGATTATTGTCACAACAATTTGGTTGAGCTGTTCTGTTCTGTTTCGTGGAAGAAGTAATCATGACGCCTGATTTCTCCCGGTCAGATTCGGCCTGCCTGAGTCTCATTTCTATTTACAAAAACTGTGAAACAGTTAAAAACGTTTGTCATGACTGATGACTGATTTTACAGATACATGGAATGTAGCTAAATGTCGCACACCCCCTTCCCAGGAATCCTAGATGACCATTGCTAACAGGATAATATCAAGCAATTCACTACTAGTTGGATGGCACATCTTCCAGGACTATTCTCTATACAATCTACTAGTGATATCTTAATGAAGATCTTTGTTTGTGTGGTTAAGATTAAGAGAATCAAAAGCTGAGTTCGCCGCGAAATCTTCTGCATTCAAATAAGTTCTAAGCCTTGTTTATAAGAATTAATGGCACAAAGCAACTGGTTTAAAAGTGAAAACTATTGTAGCTACTAATCACGGTAACATTCATCGAGAATGTCAGCACCAAAAGAATTGGTGTTTACAGTACTGAATCCATTTTGATGATAACATTGCAGATACTCGGCTTCTGTTTTTTTAATGCAGAAGATGCATAGAATTTCCAAAGAGACAGGGGATTATCATATTCACCTTTTCAAATAAAAGACCATGGAAAACACATCCGCTGGAACAATGATATTGACTATAAAAACGCTTCTTGCCTGCCCAACTTCAATTGGTTTGATTTCCACTTGAATTGGAAAAAAGACTACAATATAGCTACAAAGATTTTCATTTTGCAATCCTCCCCTCAGTTTTACTACATGTATGTGAAAAAAATTTGGCCATCTCATAGTTGATGCGGTCTCTGAACTATTCCCCCCATCTCATTTATGTGCCATCCGAAGTGTTAGCTTAGTAAATCACACCCTTTGACTAAAGTACACATTCATAAAATATCTCGAAGGATTGAAGCCACTCAAAATCACTGCAAAGTTGAAAGAACTAAGAGGTTGATATACAAAACAACCTGATACGAAGGTGAAGTCAGAAATTGCATTTAGTAACTTACAAATAGGAGACAGGACAATGACAACACCAATTGGATAGAGGAAAAATGTTGTTCTCTCCAGAAAGGGTAACACTGCAGTAAATAAACATGTTATCAGTATCTTAATTGATCAAGGTGATCAGCAGCTGTATCATTACAGCAAAACATTTCAATAGCCACCCAAGTTTGGAGCTATATCCAAGCAAAACCTTCTATTACTCATCATTGACAAAGAAAGGCTTCAATACAACTTTCTTTTTCTCTGGAAGTGGAAAAGCTGGATTTCTGGCAGGGAGCTCCTCCCACTTAAATCCAATGTTTCAAAAACTGACCCAATGATTAAACCAGAAAGAACAAAAGCGAGGTGTCAGAACTTCATCAAGGATTACACTGGAGGAGAAACATGCCACAGATCTTTGTGTTAACTCATTCAACTAAACCTATATCCTAAATGTCATTCACGTGCACATAAACCTGTTATTTCATGCAAAAAAGTTAAGCAACTGCAATTTTTAATTTCTATCTTTGAACTCCTCTCATTCATGCACAACATATGTGCAATTTACTATACTATTGCAAGTGCTTCAAATATCTCTCGTGTAATTTATTTTAAAAAAACACATGCTGTGATTACATTGAACGCTCTTGGCAACAGTGCCATTGTGTTTAATAGCATTGTTTGAGTACAATGAATTTTTGAGACAATAAGGTGGAACCCCGACATCAACAAGGAGGGTTTCCACCTTGATGACCAGTCTGACCAGGTCAATACAGTCCAACTCAGGCTTAGATCAAGAATAGGTAGATGCCCTAAATAAGACGGCTATAAGATGGCACTTTAAGGCAACCAGGTTTCACATTCAAGTCCATTCTGTCTAAAAATGCTGCTCAAAACACTTAATTGAGGTAATGACATGGACCTCAGTCCATACAAGCCTTTGAGTTATCTCTAATTATTCACATACTAGTGATCTCCTTTCTAAGGATAGTGTACACGCACACACCCAAAAAAAAAAAAAATACCCTGCTCATGAAAGTAGTAAATCCAATACTATGAAAAATCAGCTCACCATCATAGCCTAAAAAGTTGAGGTAATGATAGTACGAGGCTGCCACCATGAACAGCAGGTTTGACAGGAATACAGGTATGAACCCATGGGCAACCAAAAGAGGTGACAGAAAATAATGTATAACTGCAACCAAAACAAGACATCAGTAAACTTTTGTGACATAAACTGAGGTTGACAATTAAAAGCTGAAACATATATTTGCATAGCACTCACCATAAAGCATCACAAACATTGGGAAGAAAGAATTGCAGTGCACATCAAATGCATACAGCCTTCAACCAGAAAGCAGAAAAAAAAAAGGGTCAGCACTAAGTGTTATCAATGAGGAATATGCAAGTGAGATAAAGAACATCTATGAAACATCAGAGATGGACATGGCCAACAATCTATAATGATTTCCAGACAACAATTTGCATGCATACAGTTGTTAAAAACATAGTTTATAAACAACCAAGAGCAGGAGATTCTAGACTTGCCATTCAACCCGTTGCTCAACAACATGACTATTTGGAGCCTCCTCCCGAAGGTATGCATTAGTTAGGAACCTGTATGGAAATGAAAAAAAGGGAATTGCTATCATGCCAGCTTAGTGCAGCACATATGTGCTAGCTCTAATCACACAAGCATTGGAAGGAAAGCAAAAGGTGAAAGATCTAATTATGAATGACAAAGGAAAAATTGAACCATCAATGAAAGAAATTCAGAGTTAGTTTCTTAATTTAGGATTAAATTCTCACAAAAGGGGAAAGCATCACTAAGGCAAGTAATGTCATCTCCAGATGATATAACAATATTTTGGAGAATGAAGACTTTAAAGTAACAGATGTTAGAACAAGTACTTCAATTATCTAACTATGCAGAAACCCTTATAATCACTAATGGTACAGAATCTCTCAATCTCTCCATTGCAGTAACAAATATGTGAATATCATTCTTTCACCTGCTTCAATTGGCAGCATATAATTTTCAACAATTAAATATCATGTCATGTGCAAGGCTTGTGGCATTGGCAGCAAAAATTAAAATACAGAGTTTTTTAAAGATAAACAAAATCTATTTATTAAAGTGCCAACTTCGCATTTACATGGTAATTTCATCCATCATTAGGGGCATTCAAATAAGGGGAGAGCTGAAAAACAAGATAAGCATCATATTACTATCATGTGGACAGTGGTTCTTACCAACAACATGTAGCCAGACCAGCTCCTGAAATTAAAAAATGAAAAAATAATACGGAAATAACTACAAAAACAGCATGTCCGGCACTGTGGTCATACCTGAAATGAAAAGAATAGACCAACAAAGATTTAAACTAGAGGGAACACTCAAGGAACTCGTTGAATACAGCAATAGAAAGAAAAATAGTCTTAACAGTAAAAAAGGGATAAAAAACAAAATGCACTTAAAGGTTTGGCCATGACATTGCTCACTTTGAAGAAGTTAGACATACAAGATGCAGCCTAATCATGCATAGTTAGACATACAAAATGCAGCCTAATCATGCATATGCAACATTACTAGACTTGGAAGCATTGACTCATCATGCATACTCGTAATTAACAACTGCAAGTTTAAACTTTAAATGCATTCAATTATCATGAAAACATAGACAAGAATGTGAAAATTATTCATTATTCCTATCATCGCTATGACAGTCAATCTTGAGAGATTGTTAAAGGCAGGAAACTTACGCGGCACAATAAGCCAAAGCCGCAACTACCAAAAGGAGGCTGCAGATTACAACAAAAGCAGGGTCGTCACGTGCCCATTGATTCTTAGTTTCTGAAACCAATAAAAGCAAATTAAAAGTTTTTGCATGTGATTTTCTATAGAAAATTTCATAGCTCTGGACCTCCAATGAGTGAATAGGTAAAATTCAAACTGTAAACATGATCAAATATACAATCCAAGCCTGGCAATATTGCATTTGAAACATTTGATGCAAAAAAAACAACCACTGGTTTTCAATCGAAACAGAGATCGTATACTCTTAGGACTATGAATTAAGAACTAAAATATAACTCAAAACAAAAATATTTAAAGAAAAATCAATAAGATTTATTGATTTCAAAATAACCACTTAGCACAGCAAGATACAATTTATCTTCATCAACCATTGGATGAAAAAATACAAGATTCTTCAGTTGGAGATGAACTTACGTTTGTGATACTTAGTGTGCTGATAGCTGCATCCATTGTATAATGTAAAGTCAACATGCAAAATGTAATAACTCAATTAGAAACTTGCCAGCTAGAAAGTAGACAAAACAATTATACACACTTGATCCAAACTCTGAACCAGCATTGTAAGTAAATTTTTCCCATTCTACATGCGGGTTTTGCAGCAAAAAACAAGCAATATAACAGTCTCAATGCTGCAAACTCTTACCGATGCAACACTCATCCTGGCAATTATACACCGATAAAAGATAACATAATAGCAATAGCAAGGACAATGACGAGGAATGTTCAAGTGAAATAATTCTTACACGACTTTTGGTGAGGTGCACAAGTGAAGCATTTGCCAGAAAGTGTACTCAACGTCCATTTGTTGCCACTGCAAAAACACAAGGGTTTGTAAATGCCGCAGCAACCCAAACTTAATTTTAGGCACCATCGAAGAAAATATCAACATCAAAAGTCTAGGATAGATGCACGCATTTCTCTCTAGCATTGATGAGCACCATAAACTAAAGAATGAATCCTCCTAAACTCGCAATTAGATATCAAAACTTGCCCCTCAAAAAAATGAAAAATAATTAATTCATAAGAACAAGTGCCAACTATGGTTTAAGACTTGTGAACGAAGCAAACGTCATTACATCCGATTTCAATCACAACCGGAAATCACACATTGCAGGGGTAATTACAATTTGTGAAAGAAATTAATAAATTCAAAGATGAGATTGAAAATATTAATGAATAGATGGAGTAAGAATGAAAACGAGCGAAGAGAAAGGTTAAGATGGAAGTGAGATCTAGAGAGAGGAGAGGACCTTGATGATTCGACGGAGGTAGTGAGGGAAAGTGGAGGACGATGATGCACGCCCTCTCGATGTTGTAGGCAACATCTTTTTTTTCTTTTTAATATGTTTGATGATTTGCTTCCTCTTGGTGATTTCAGGTCAGGTTTTTTTTTTTTTTTTGCCTGCTTGATTGGAGATCTGCGCAGAACTCACAGCTTTCTGTGGAGGTGGTGAGAAGAAGAAACGTAAAAACGACGACGACTCCGCTTTCTGCCGGTAGCCTTCTCTCTCTCTCGCCAAAAGGAGGAAGTGGAACTGGGCTCACGTTTTAACTCTTGACGCGGTTTTTACACTGGGCTTTAGCTCTAAGCTTCAGAGAAATGATTGTGGCCTTTTTTCCGGCCTTTTGGGTTTTTTATTTTTATTTAATACCCATTGAGGTAGGTTTTTGTTTTATGACACGACATTCAAATCCACTTCTTCACTGTGTCATAATCAATTTTTTTATTCTACCAAAATGTTGAATTTTTTACAAGTTGAAACCACCTCTTAGAGCATGTCTAAAAGAAAAAAGTTGCCAGGTGGATGGGATAATCAAGAGGATTATTTTTAAGAATCGGTGATATTTTTAAATTAATAATTACATATCAATTGAGATTAAATTTCCTTCTCAGAAGATTTTAGATACAAGATGTTAAATTTACTTGGATGCTAATTCCAATACTTAAACTCCAAATATTGATAAATAAATAAAATCTCCTTGACCACGTGGCGTCCCTCTTAGCATTGATAAGGAAATTGTGATTTCTCTTTTAATCTTTAAGATTTGAGCCATAAATAAATGTCAGAAATGGAGTTTTTATAAATGTCTAAATCAAATAGTTTGTCTCTTAAAATCAAGAATTAGAAAGTTTGGAAAGATCTAGAATAACTAGTGAGACTTTCTTACATCAATATGGCGACGCAGGTAGGGTTTAAACTTAACATTCACGCCACTCGTTTTTGCCTTGCAAGATTACTATGATGCTCTATCTAAGCCAAGTGCGCTGGCCATGCCAACTTTATGAGAGGGACGCTTTGCCAAAGGTTATGATGCGTCAAAACACAATCTAAATGTAGTTTAGCATTTTTTTATGGATTTTTTTTAAAAAATAAAATAATTTTATTTAAGCATCAATGTTCAATGAGGATCCAAAAAATTTGAAGCATAACTTGTTTTTTATGGATTTTTTTTAAAATAAAGTAATTTTATTTAAGCATCAATGTTCATTGAGGATCCAAAAAATTTGAAGCATAACTCCAAGAATTTCAGCCGTTAAATATAACTGAAGACCTATCAAAACAATGTGTTACGTTGTTGGCATTTCTTTTGACATCATGAACAATTTTGAAGTTATTTGTAGTTGTAAGTGTAGGCTGACAATCTTTAACAACTAGATTATACTTTGTTTGACTAGTAAAAACAGACACGCAATCACCAACTAAGCATGTAACATCTGGTTCCAATATGATATTTGTGTATAGTTATTTAAGAACTTTTTTTAAATGGTATTTAAAAACACGGACCTGTTTTTTATAAAAAAAAATTGTTAATAATTAAATATTTTTGTATATTTTGGATTATTTTGATATATTGATTTTAAAATTAATTTTTAAAAAATAAAAAAAATATTTCAATATATTTTAATGTAAAAAATATTTTAAAAAATAATTATATTAAAAACAATCTAAAAATCCAATCTTGAAGTTGATGCCATATTTCTCACCAATTCTAGTTCTTGCCGGCATCTGGAGGCAAAAAAAAGTGAACAAACAAACACATGTTTTCTTGTTTCCTCGTCACATTTACAAAATACATGATCATTGGAAATATTAGTAACTAATTGATTTAGTCAAAACATAAAAAATCCCGCAAGACTATCTCGATTCATCAATTAACCATTGACGCCGGCACTAAACAATTTTGTATTCAATCAAATAATAAAAAATAATTATGCTCGGCCGGGGGAAAAATGAATGTATGTTCTTCTTGAAAAACGTACACGAAACAATCAATATCCAACCCTCATATTGAATTCATAAATTTGCGGTGAAAGCATGCCCGTGAATTGTGAAGAATCTATCTCTCTCTATTTTCTCTGAAAATATTCAAGGCCTTGGGCCAATAAATGGGACACTGCTACAGCCACGCAGCAGAACTAAGCAAAATTCTGGGCATATTAGACGGGACAAGAACAGGAATTCATCCTGGCCATTTAGCTGTGTTTCTGGTACAATGTCACCAACCGCCATATCAACACTATCCTGACAATCAAACATTACTATCCAAAATTGTACAGCCGCATGGTACCCAAACGTACCAGGATGCACCGCTCGCTCTCATAATTAAAAATTAAAAGAAAACAATGCGTTTAAAAAACCACTGTTTTTTTTTTTTAATTTCTAGATACCCCGGAACATACTTTAAATTTCTCAAGCCATTAATATATATATATATATATATTATTTTTTTTCCTATAAGCTTTCTAGGAGAAATTTCTGAGGCATATATATTATCCAGAAGTTTAAATTCAAAACCAGTGATATCTTAAACAGCAGGACCAGCAAACCAGAAGGGCAGTATTTTTGTACATCTTTGAAATTCAAAACTATTGCGAGCTCAGAAGCAGAAAAAAGAAAATGCTAAATAAGAAACAAATAAATTTCCAGTAAGCATCAGTGATTTTTTCCGTTCACCAAATGAATAAAACCACTGCTGTGATCTACACCTTTCTTTCCCTAAATCTAGGTTATTATTTTTAATTTCTCACACCCGACGAAACAAAACCAGAAACCAAACAGCTTCTTTCATACCCCCTTGTCAAACCTCAAACCTTCCTAACCTCTCAACACACGTCTGATCGGTCCATACAATCTCTAATCTTCTCACTTAACAACCCATTTGTTAACTAATCCCATAATTAATCTAATTATTTCCAATGATATTCCTAATTAGCCACTACTTTTCTTCCCAATCCCAACCATATAGATGCTCACTTCCTTTCTAATCATCTCCTGCATAACTGCTAACAACTCCGGCCCAAACGTCATCGTTTTCTCAACATCTCCGGTTAACAATTCTTTAGTACCAACCCCATGTCTCCCCAACTGTCCAGACTCCATCCCCAGAGTAGACAACGTAAGTTCAGTCGAAACGCCGTCGTTACTAATTCCAGTTTCGACAACTGGCATGTTTTCGCTTGCCAGCATAGATGACGTTACAGGTAACCCAGCATCACTGACGTCAGATCCCGAAGGAGTACTGGCCCTCTTGTGAACCGAAGACGACGACCCCGTTTTTGCAGATTTCTCCTTCACTCCATCTTCATTAACCGTTCCATCATTCTCAATCAAGTCCGCGTATTTCCTCTTTAACGTGGAGTTCCAATGATTTTTGATTGCGTTGTCCGTACGTCCATCGAGGAGTCTTGCTATGGTAGCCCATTTATTACCATACTTGGCATGAGCATTGATGATGATCTCATCTTCTTCGCGTGTAAACGCTCTGTGCTCCACCTCCGGTGACAGCTGATTACACCATCGTAACCTGCAGGATTTCCCGGAGCGGCCTGGTACTGCTCTTGCTATCATCGTCCAGTTACGCGGCCCATGTTTTATCACCAAATGCTTCAGCAGATCGTCTTCTTCCGGGCTCCATGGTCCCTTAACCCGATTATTATCCATCAAAAAACCTGAAGGAGATGAGACGATGGTTTTAAAATAGAGAGGTTCTCTGTATTGAATAGGAGAGGGGAGGAGGAAGCGGGACTTTATAAGGGATAGATTAGGAGAAGTGATTAAACCGGTTAAGGGAAATACGTGGATATAGAGAAAGCGGATACTAGTATTTTTCAGTTACCGGTTTTAATTATACAACTGTATAACTGCCACGTAGGTCCTCGGATTACTGAGAATCTAACAGGATAAACTCGGCAGGTTTGGGAATTTGAAGGATTTTTCTCGCGGTAGTTGCCATAACTGATAACTCCTTTCAATGGGTTGTTTCCTGTTTGGTATTGGCGTTTGCTGCGTGGCTAGTTGTAGTTGTATAAATCCAATTAATAAAATTAAAAGGTGTTTATGATACTTGTCATTTAAAGTGTTTTTTTATATAAAATAAATAAAGAAACTATTAGTCATTTATTTCATTCCATGGTAATATTTGTTTGAATATGGTAACCAAAATCTAGTTTACAATTGAATTATATAATAAAAAAAAAACAACGGTGGCATATAAGATAATATTTCATTTTAGTAAATATATTAAAAAAATTGTAGATCAAAATAAAAAATGTTTTCATAAATATTTTTATTTCGTGAAACAAAGTTGAAATTGAGATTTTTATTCAAACAAATGAGATATTTAAAAAAAAAAAAATTATTCTTCTGTGAATGACTGTAAATGACATGTAAATATAGATTTTTTTATCATTGTAACAGAGAAATTTCAAAAACAAGAAAGAAAGGAAATTTCAAGAAATGGCATTTTTATTCTTCCCGTCAATCATCATAAATAACAATAAGATTTGGATTTGTGATTCCGAAGATAAATTTCAGGAAATTATAAATCTATTTAACAATTAAATTAGGATCTTTGATCCAGAAAAAAAAAAGAATTTTAAAAAACGACAAATCTATTCATTGTACAAGTATTGAAAAACCAATGCATACGGTACTAATGAATTTGAAATAATATTCTTATCAATATATTTTCACAGGCATAACAGAGAGAAAAATTATTAATTGAAAATAAAGAAAATTATTCAATACACCGAGAGGGGTCTCGTGTAAAAAAAGAATTAGAATTTTTTTTAGGGCACTCCTCTTTATATTTTGAGAGAAACTACAACTTTTAATTTGCCTCTTGGAACAGCAAATTTAATCATCAAGAATAATAAATATATAAAAACTACAAGATAAAGAAATCAAAATAAACTTGAAAAACAATATTTCTGATTTTCGACTTTCATTCTGTAATTTTTAGTTTGCAAAGTGAGCTTTTAATATGTAATTATATTTTTAATTGAGATAATTAAAAACTTAGCTTTTAATTTAATTATTTTTATAACATAATTGAGTTTTTAATATATTTTCCTGTTAACTTATTTTTTAATCTAACTTAATTGAGCATAAAATATATCAGTCATGTACAAAATATATGACAAGCAAAAAAATTATTTAAAAAAAATCACATGAAACCATATCACTCAATGTATGGAAACCTTTTTTCTCCTCGTTCCTTCTATTTTCCTTGTCCCTTTTCATTCATTG